TCTCCAAGAGGTTTTCCTGGATGGTGGGAACACGAAAGCGCTCCCAGCTGTGTCTAAGCATAAGCGATTGTTCTACAGGACCCCTTCAGCGATACTTTCTCTGGCCTTGCGTAGTTTCTTTACAGCCCATACTGATCAGAACTCAGCTAAAGACTGGTAGAACTCTGGCACTCTCTCTGTGCACCTCTTTCCTGCCAGATTCTTTGCTTTGAACATAGAGCCCTCAGCTCCCTGAACTTTCAGGTCAACTTCTCATCTCAGGTTGCCTTGGTTCCCCTTCCATGATACAGTTTAGGAACCTATTCCAGGCAGAACCCCAGGGCACTCATGCATCTTACCCCATTTATTCCTCCTTTCTCAAGGGTCACTGTGTTGCGCAGCCTGCTGTCCAATGTCTACAAAAAAAATTGCCTTGTATACTTTGTTTTTTCAACTCTTTAGAGCAGAAGGGTAAATCTTAAGTCTTTTACTCCTTTAGTGCCAGATGTGAAGTATCTGTTTCTTTTCTCTGTGATTATTTTTATCCAGATTTTAGTCTATAATTTAAAAATCCTATGCATGGCCATGAATCAAGCAGGTTTTTTTTTTCCCCCTTTGTTTTTTTGTTTTTGTTTTTTGTTTTTGGTATCAGAGATTGGTCCCTTGAGCTTGCAAGGCAGGTGGCGGAAGCACTGAGCTAAATCCCCAGCCCAAATCTATCAGGTTTTACTCTCCTATGTTTTAAGTGAGTTTGGCACCCCTTCTCTTTGACTATCTGTATAACTGTTGCTTCTTTGTTTATTTTTAATGGAAGGCTCTAACAGAGAAGTCTGTAAGAGCACAAAATAAAAATAGAAATACTTTATTTCCATTTTTTTATGTTCTCATTTTTTTCTTTTCCCTTATTACCTTTCCCTACCCTTCCCATTTCCCCTACATCTTTAGCCCTTTTCTTCGTATTTCACATTGTCAATTATATCATTAGGATCTTATGTACCATTATAGTTTTTCACACCAGAGAAACTATTCAGTATTTACACATGTGTGACTTATTTATTTCACTTAGGAGTATATCCTCAATATGTATCCATTTTCCTATGAATAACTCTAAGTTCCCATTCTTTATGGCTGAGTAGTATTCCATTTTATAGAAAAACCACATCTTCTTTATCCAGTCTCCAACTGATGGGCAAATGGGCTGTTTCCAAGTTTTAGCTATTACAAGTATTTGCAAATAGGGAAGGGAGGAGGGGGCGAAGGGAGGGCAGAGATAAGGGGAAAAAAATGAGAACTAAGACCTGTCATGTAAAGGTACAAGATTCCAATGATGAATGTAACTGTACTGTATACCTAAAATGTACCAATAAACTCAATGAGGAAAAAAAATAGAAATAAAAACGAAAAAATGCTACACATGGATTATACTAACTATGAAGTACGATGATATGTAAGAAAATACAACAGATATAAAAAATCTTGGGCTAGAACTTTAGAAACTGGAATCATAGATACATTTTGTCCTTCAGGTATCATTCTACGACTGGGTTTCCCTGGGCCTGGGGACGTGTGAATGTAAAGATACGGACCAGTTGATATCTTTGGTGCCACATAATGCAATCATTTCAAGATTCTGCAAAACTCACAAATGGGTCAACAAAATTTTAACTTATTTTCAGAAGATGTAAAGAAGGTGTAGGAAAGATAAAGCATTTAGAGTGCAGAACCACCTCAAACCAAAGTGCAAGAGGAAAAAAATAACAATGAGTAAAAAGGCTGGCGTATTGAGGAACTGGGAGCCCAAACGTTGGAAAGAGGAGGATGAATGGAAATAGTTTGCCTCGTGTAGTAACCTTGATAGTGCCATTGTGGGAAAGAAAAATTGCATATCATATCAGAGAGCTGGAAATGTCTTGAAATTCTAGCAGAAGGATTTACTTAGATTTGACATGTGCACAGTTGTTTAATATGCAATGATTGATGATGATGATGATGATGATGATGATGATGATGGTACATCCTCTTCTTTTGAAGCTTTGTGGTGGGGGAATTGGCAAAATGCTCACGGATATCTATGTTATACTTTTAAAGACTACAAAATACTTAGGAAAATGCTCTTACTGAGGAAGCATGATCCATTCCAGAGGAAGCTGTCAATGATTTGTGTTGAATAGGAGATAACAAGCTAAAAAAACTTGAATTGAGATCTTTTGCTAACATTACAAAACCAGAGTGATCAGTATAGTGTTAAATCCCAGATTAGTGGGCTCCTGTGTCGTAGCTCCTCTCAGGGACACCACACTGTCAGGAGGTGAGCTTTAATTCAGCTCCAGTTTTCACCAGAATCATTTTCTGTGTCATAGTTTGTAACGTTTTAGGAAGTGCAGAGATTTGCTGTGGGATGACAGAATGGATGAAATCTTCTCCGGTCTTTTCACCTAATTCCATGACTTTTTGCTCATTAGTAGGCCTATTTAGTAAATGGAAGTAGCTGACCATCATAGAACACGAAGCCTGACTTGTGAGAGTGGGCTTTTCACATTCTTTAATTACAAGAATGAGTTCACCAATGAAAAGCACAGCCAAAGCACATGGTGAGGAAACAGCATAAGGTTAAACCAAGAGTGCAACACAAACCAAGGCAACATAAACCAAGGACTATGAGACAGTCATGATTTTGATTGTTTTCTTTTGAGAATATTAAATTATTCATAAAGCTAGAGTGATACTTTTGCCCAAGTAAACCTTTATATGCATTTCAAAGAAAACAGTAAGTGTCCTTGAATACTGGCAGGCCAGCATTTTCATCTTATTCCTTTACTTGGGCTTTACATATTATTTTTCTGATAAAACTCACATTTGGCTACCATAACAAAGTGCATTAAAGTCATGTTACTGATATACTATCACCAATGCCATATTTAACAAGGGTGGCGTTTAAGTGGCTATAATTACATGTCTAGGTTACATTGCTATTATGTTGAATAAAGAGTTTGTTTTTTGTATTGCTGTTCCACATGTAGGTGTGTAATTTCCAAAAGACAAGATAAATTAGGCTTTTCCACTTAAAAAATGTTTTTCCTCCTTTATTGTAGAGATAAGAGTTCCAGTAAGGAAGGCAAAGTGCACTGTGGAGAAATCAGCAGAAATCACAGATCCTCGTGCCTTAAGAGCTAATCGATCACTTTCAGTTGCTTCAGGCTTGAATAATTTTATGGAAGTGCAAGAAATTTGAATTCTTTTCTAAATTCTTAAATTTGGGAGAGGAATCTATTCTTATTTTCATACTGGAAAGGGAGGGAGCAGTGCGAGTCATTCCAACCATATGTGCTCACAGAGTAAGAATGTGCCTGTAGGTGTGGTTCCCACTGGAAGGCGCAGGGACGAGAGCGCCTTGCTCAGGAGCCACTGTTCTATTTCATCCGGGACCTGAGTGCTCTCACTGCTCTATTCCCTTAGGGGGTCGTGTTCCTCTGCTTAAAAGAATATTGCCTCCTCTCCAAGCTAATGATTTGTTTGGAGGAGGGAAGTCTCAGAGGTGACGATAACTGCACAGCTTTTATAATGTATCTTTCAGGTCTTTGATCTACTTTTTCCTGAAAACATGGGACCCCTCAGTAGCAAGATTAAAGATGCCTTTTCATAGAAGAAAGGCAAAAGTTGAAAACTTAAAAGTGGCTCAGGTTTCCAAATAATATTTTTGTATTTTCTTCATTTTGTCAACATCATGTTTGGTGAGTGTCGTTCTTCATTCATGTGATAATTGGATGACAGTCCAAACACAGTGTGGGATCATAGGCTTTCTAGGGAAACTATGGATTTGGTTTTTAAAAAATGGCTAGGGCAAATGAGTCTACCACCAGGGAATACATATTCATCTTGGATTATATTTAACTCAAAAATATTTACTTGAGGCCTTGGTCTCAAACACTGTGTCAAGCATTGTGTCTTTTGTAGTGAATATCAAGAATCAAGATGTGTTTTTGAGAGACTCATGCTCTTAACTAGGCAACTAAGGCATTACAGAAATGGCCATGGTGGGATGCAGGGTATGACAAATGAAAAGTACTCAGAAATGAATAGTGATCATTTTGGGAGCAGAGAGGAGCCCATATTCTGAAGTAAATGATTTTTTTTTTTTTTTGCGCCTAATTTACTTTTAGTTCCTACTGTTTACACTATGGAGGAAATCAATACCAGAATGGATTGTAGGTTCATCTAAATGACTGAAGGGGAAGAAAAAGTTTAAATCACCAAGTTTTCTTCTCATGATTCTAATTGAGCTATGCCTAAAGATTTCAAAGTGTTTACATTAAAAAATTTAATTTGCAAACAAATACTTGTGTAACCCAAAGGTCTGTGGTGGGCAGTACTTTTTTTTTTTTTTGGTTACTGATGTTTTGTTTATTTTTTTAAATACTCCATTTTAATGTTCTTAGCTGAGAATGAGAACCTAACCAATCTGACACACAAAGAAGATTCTTCCATTCCCACTAGTTTGTTTTTGACTATTTTAACTAATTCTTCACAAGAAAAATATGTAAGAAAAAAATGTAGTTATTAAGAGAAATTATATCATCTTTTCTAAATTATGATTCAAACTCAAATTAATAAAAATAATAAGAAAATTCACTACCATCTGTAAGATAACTGTAAGATATATGTGTCAATATTTGATCTTGTTCAATGAGCATCTCTCAACATTTGCTTTTGTTCTTATGTGGCACGGAACTGAGCATTTTAAAAAGCATAAACTTATTTCACATTCCTTTCAAGGGATAAATACATATTGTGAACTAGTTCAGGTGAAAGGGGGAAAGTCAGATTTAGCGAGTAGGAGAAATCATTACTACTATTCATATGCTCCTCTTAAATGTTGAAGATACAATCTGGTACAAAAGTCTACCCAACCTTCATGTGGTAAGGAACTGGTTAAAAATAAAACTACCAACCAGATGAGAGTCAGGTGAAAATGACAACTATTAAGAGTGCTATAAAAGAATTTTCGAAAATCAAAGCCTTACCAGTAACCAGATCAAGTTCAACGTCACGTCTGCTCTCCTTCCATGACAGCAAGAGGTCAAGGCTGGAGAGATCTTGAGATTCTATATAAGTGTTCATTGTCAGCATCATCTGATGAGCTTTGGCTATTCCGTAATGAACTTGCGTTTCCTCCATCAGAGACGTGCTCATTAGCTCTACCGTTGTGTCAAAAGCTTGCTGAAAGTACTCAGAAGCTTTGTTGTATTGACCCTAATAAGGTGAGAGAGAGAGAGACAGAGAGAGAGAGAGAGAGAGAGAGAGAGAGAGAGAGAGAGAGAATCTTTTCTTAATTTTATTTTACCACTCATATATTCGTTCAGATCACCTCGATATGTCACACACTGATCTCTGAACAGTTCTTTGAGCGGAGGGGGACGATAAACCAGCTCTGTTATAATAGGCTTCTTTCTAGTATTATTGTTTGTTATTCAAGATCTTGAAATTAATTTGGCAGAAAACTGTGCCTATTAGATTGAATTATATGACAATTAAATTCTTTTAGATAAAAAGTGCTCAAAAAATTGTCTGTTTCATGTGGTTCAGCCTAATATATTCTAGTGAAAAGAAATGTGAGAAAGAGTGAAAGAATTCATTGATTCGGAAAGAGGTTTCATTACTAGTATAACTGTATTTATCTAACGAAATTAGATAAATTCTTGCTTTCAGGTGTAAAAAATCATTTTCAGTGAACTCATTTCATTGATGGCCAGTGAATATAAATGTATCTATCAGGTAATTTTGTTACTGTTCTTGTTTTCCAAAATATATGCTTGTCATTCTTCACTGAGAATGTTGGAGTAACATACATTTCAAAAACAATAGCACTAGCACAAATACCATGATCAATTAAGTATCTACCTCTTCACTAAGTTCACTGCAATATTTCATAGTGTAAAAATTTAAGATTCGAAGTTTTTCTTTTGTTTGTGTTGGTTTGGTTTTGGTCATCTTCCCCTCTTCTAAAAGCTATTGTCCCCCAAATAAAAGTAGTCACATAGCTTTTGTGAAACATCAGGGCCAGCGATACTTTATTATGTCATCAGCCTTCACAAGTCACACTCTGAAGACAGAAGTCTTCTGAAGTCACTGTTAATAAAATCGAGTCTTAGAGAAGACTCTCTTCTGCCATCTTCAACTCTCCTGAAGATCCTCACCGAAATTATTTCCTAAAGTAGAATACTGTTTCTAGGACTCAGTTATACTTGTAACGACTCTAGAGAATGACATCTCTATCTCCTTCGCTGACTTGTGATCCTGCTGGCTTCGACTCCTCTTCCCTCCGTTCTGTACACACAGAACATGCATGATACCATACAGAGAAGGAGTGAGCTCTGTTTCCCAACACAGAGCAGTGACCATGCCCTGCTATATATTTTACAAATAACTAAGAGCTGCTCAAGTTTCCAAACCAAAGTAATGATAAAGAGATAGACTCATCGCCCTGATTTGATCAGTGCAGATTGCATGCATGTGCTGTCCTATGACACTGACCACCATAAACGTGCTCACTTAAAAGAATAATAAAAAATTTGCAAATATCAGTGAGTAGTCTTCAGAAAAGAAATGCGTGTAATTCAGAATGCTTCACTACAAGTGTTTTGCTTGTTTGTGCTTTAGTTATCTGTGACAGAGTCTTGATACGTAGTCTAGGCCAGACTTTGAACTTGGGAGCCTCTCGCTGGAGCCTTCTGAAATGCTGGAATTGCCCACATGTGCCACTGGGCTCAACATTTTCTCTGGATTTGTAAGTCGTCTTCTGACAATGTTTTATTAAGGAAACGGACATAAAATACAGTAGTAACAGCTTTTGTACTGTTCATCATTCCAGGTAAGTGCCTCTTCAACTCCACCATCCTCATGTAAACACGGAACTTGGGTAGGAATCAAACTAATTGAAAAAGAATTAGCAGGACGAGGAGGGGATGAAACAGGACATATGTGACAGTTTTGCAGCACAAACAACAGTGTTTGCAGCACTGTGTCATGTGCAAGGACAGCCAGCGAGAACTGCTGATTCAAACGATGCTTTCAACTACATTTGTTAATTAAAACTCATATTATATGAGTGATAAGTTCTGTCTGTTAAAATGAACAATTCTTTTATTTCCAATTATAAAACAAAATTTATATGAGAAAATGATTATTAAATTAGGAAAAAATAAAACTATCAAAGACACAAGTATGCCAGTTAAGTAAATTGTCTGAGAAATGATAAAAATATTACTCATGATGAAAATAAAGTAGTTAAAACTGTAGATTGTCTTGACACACATCAAAGATATAGGATAAAATACATGAAAATATATGACTGCCTTTTCCTAAGAAACAGGGAAATATACTTTTTTTTTTCCACCGTACTAGGGATTGAACCCAGAGCTTTCCTCTTAGGCTAGATTCCCAGCCCCTTTTTATTCGTTTATTTTTATTTTTATTTATTTATTTTTAATTGCGTTTATTGGTACATTTTAGGTGTACAGCACAGTCACATTCACATTCACATTCACTACTGGGATCTTGTACCCTTACATGACAGGTCTTGGTTTTCATTTTTTCCCCTTGTCCCTGCCCTCCCTTTACCCCCTCCTCCCCTCGCCATTTACAAGCACTTTATTTCCATTTTCTCATATTTTTTTCTTTTCCCTTATTTCCTTTCCCCTACCCTTCCCACTTTCCCTACACCTTTAGCCCTTTTCTTTACATTGTCAATTATCTCATTTATTTTTTATTTTTGAGACAGCCTCTTGTTAAGGTGCTAAGTTTCCCAGTCTGGGCTTGAAGTTGAAATCCTCCTGCTTCAGCCTCCCAGAGAGGTGGGATTATAGGCATTTCCTTCATTCTTTCCTGAGAAATTTAATCATGTAGTTGTTCTTCTAGGTATATTTCTGAGCTTTATGGTATTTGTTTTAGGTGAGAGTTTCAACTAACAAATTTGGATCATAAATAAATGGACATATATTTGAATTTTTGGAATTATTTTTATATTATGTTAAAATTAACTCATTCATTGGTTCACTCATTAAACAACTACTATGTACTAAGCTCACAAGCAGTGATGATTCAGCAATGAATGCAATTTACAGTTAAATTGTTGAGCTTGCTATTAGGGTAAATAGTGATATACCTGAAACTTTTGTTAGGTCTTATTTAACAAGTGCTTTCCTCCCCTAAAACAACAAAAAAAAATCCTAATTAAATAGTTATTTTTCTTTAAGCTTGTGCCTAGTATTCCATCTTGAACACATATCTAACTGCCACAAAACTGAGGTCAGGGTACATTTTTCTAGTTTAAAACACTGCTACGGAAATACAGTATTAACTCTCAGATGTTAATTTTCATACATACCATTTTAGAATGAGATTTCACTAATGTGTATTATATTTCCAGGTTTAAATTCTTAAAGAACTTTTTATAAAAAACTTCCAAACAAAGATCCAAAGTTAATTTCTGTTATCAAAGTAATTTCTGTTCTATTACAAAATACAGAAGATTCCAGAAATTAGCCCCAGCAATCTTGACTATGAGTTTAAAAATATATGGTGAATTTGTACACTTCATAATACATCTTGTGGGGAGAAGACAACTTCAGTTTACATAACCCTGTTAAGCATTTAGTGAGTACTTGTAGGACAGGATCTCAGTGACATCACAGACTTTGAAACAAAGCTCGAATTATTACAACAGAATTTTCAAGCATTATTCTGATTCTTACCAGATCCTTCTTCATGTCAAAAATGTTACGCTAGCCAGCAAGCAGGCTCAAAATAAATGGGTATTTTCTCAGTATTAAGGATAACTCATTTTCCTGCTCATTTTATACTCTTTTAACGTTGTGATCACCATTCTTTTAGCCATGTGATTATTCTGAGATCATACTAAGGAATATTTTTTTTAGTACCGGGGATTGAACTTGGGTCCTTGCACTTACAAGGCAGGCCACCGAACTGCTGAGCTAAATCCCCAGCCCCTAAGGAATATTTAATCTCACAAAAGGTCTGTACCTGATTATCTGCCTAGAAATATTCTCATTTGGCTACTTTATATTAATTATATATTTTCAATTAACACCCCAACAAAAGATTATCCCAGAGAGAGGGATGGCCTATCTTGATTAGTTAGCAGAAGGTAAACTAACTAGAATAAAGGATATTTTTAAGATGTTATGATTTTAATTATGTAATTTTAATTCTAACATTATAATAACCATAGATAATGCTAACTCATGTTGTCCCAAATAGAATTTTGACTATAATTTTTTGCTTTATAATAATATTATTTCTTGGAAATTATTGTGAAGAGTACAGTTACAACACATCACATGAGTAACACGAAGCCAGGAAGTGTTGGATAAGGGTGGTTTAGCAGGTGTAACAGGTAGCGTAGTGAACAGCAGCAATACTAGATTTGCTTTTGCAGATTTCGGATGAGTTTTTGAAATTCTAAAATGCTGTGCAAAAATGAAATAGAAATTTGGAATGTGAAGAGTGAGAGAATACTCCTGTCCAATGGTTTGAAATTGGTTGCAAAACTAGTTTCATGACCTGACTTGTTTTTTGCTGGCTGAGTCTATGCCAAGGTCACTGCTAGGCACCAGAATAAGAACGTAAACAGATAGATCAGGTCCCTGCTGTCACTAAGTTGCAAAAGGCTGACGGTGAAGAATGAATGCTGCAGTGGTTACTCTGGACTGGGCTGCCCAGAGAAGGCCCCTGGAAAATGAGATACTTCACAGCAGCTGAAAGACAGAAAGCCAGCAATGTGAAGCTGAGATCAGAGAACATTCCACATAGAACACTCCAGCCAAGTCTCACACATGCCTGTAGCAGGAATGAGCTTAGAACGTTTGAAGAACCCCAAAAAGGTCACTTTGGCTGTGCTGAAGTGGGTACAGAAAATATCAAGAAGCAGTAAGGCGAGAGATGGGTGACAGTGATCACAAAATTCAGGACAGAGCAAGGATTTATGTCTATGTTCTTGGAAGAATAGGGATTGTACTGATCCGCTCTCTCATAGCCGGGACAAAATATCTGACACCCTTGACTTACAGGAGGAAAGGTTTTATTTTGGCACATGGTTTCCGAGGGTTCAATCCTTGGTAAGCTAAAGTGTAAATCCTTTAAAAAGGGATTACTTTGAGCTCTTTTGGACACTGGCTTATAGTCAGTGGCATTGGGATAGAAGGACAGCAGAGCGATGCATGAAAACAACACGAGTTCATAGTTTACTGCAGTACTCCAGGAGATAAAATATAGTCGCATAAAGTGATGTGATAGTAACAGAGATGGAAGTGGCAGAGATGTTGGTAGATCTGAAATCTATTTTGCTGGCATAGAGGTCAGGATTTGCTTCTGGATTGACACAGAGCAAGGAAGAAAGAATCATCAAAGGACATCCAGGTTTTTGGCTTGATCAACAGGGTTATGGGATAATTATGCCAGTTATTAAAAGACCAAGAAGTGGTAGATCAAGGGAGAAGGCCATTATGTAGAACATTAGAAGTCTATTAGAAATCCAGGTAGAGATATGAAGTAAGTAGTTGGCTTTCCTGATCTGAAGTCCTAGGAGTGATCAGAATTAGAAATTGAGATTTGGTAGAGGAATGGATTTAAGAGAAAGTTAGTTTTAGAGGGCTATATCTATATTTGTTTTGCTTTTTTTTTTCTGAGACAGGGTCTCACTATGTAGTTGAGACTGACCTGGAACTCACTGTGTAGCCCAGGCTGGTTTTGAACTCAGAGTGATATTCCTGCCTCAGCCTCCTGAGTGCTGGGATTACAGGCGTGCACCACCATGCCTGGCCTAGAGGGCTGTATTTGAACTCATCTAAGTGCACGTGGCAAGTGTCCAGTGGGTTATGAGTCTGGAGTTGAGGGGAGAGAATCAGACCTTGAGATACTAAGGAGCTAAAACTCATCTATGCAATACACAAAGTGTGATCAGAAAATATGGTAAATTTAAAATTTGTAAAAATTTATTACAGTAAATGATATGCCATTAATCCTCCTCAAAATACTGCCTCTTGGTTTAAGCATACTTATCCCATCATTTTTTGCCATTTTCTGAAGCACTTCTGGAAGTCTTCTGTGAGTGTCTATAGTTGTACTGCTGTGGCTGCCTTGATGTCCCGAATTGATCCAAAACCTTTCATGGTCATTTTGACTTTGGGAATGAGCAGAAGTTGCACCACCACGTAATGTCTATGTGAGCATACCCTTCTTTTGCATGACATTAGGGAGCTGCATTCACCATATTTTTAAAAATCATACCATGTAAAGACTCTTATAAAAGAAGACTTGCAGAACTGCTTCAGAAAGTTGCAGGAATGATGGGCTAAGTGTTTGAAGAGAGTGGGGAGTGTTTTGGAGAAGATTAATTCAATTAAGTCAATGTATCTTTTACTATAATGAAATATTTTGATGACTCCTCGTATGCTAGGAACTCTACTAGGTACTACACAATTTCTTTTTTAAGCTCAGGGCCTTCAGACTGATCTATGTCCCTGGGTTATTTTTTTCTTTTAATTTTAATTTTGAGTCAGGGTCTTGCTACATTGCCTTGGTAGGACTCAAAACTTGAGATACTCCTGCTTCAGACTCCCAGAGTGCTGGGATTATGAGAGATGTGTCACCATGCCCAACTCGTATATAATATTTTTAAACTTTTCATTCTTTCATAGCTAGTGTTCAAGGTATCTCTTTATTGACAATTGAGCATCAAGGAATTAACTAGCCCAAGCTCACAGTTAATTAGTGGCTAAACTCAGTTCAAATTCAGGTGGACAAAACCCAAGGTAGTTCTCCTTTGCCTTATTCTTGGAAAAGCTTAATGCATAGCTGTGGTTCAAATACCTCGTAAAATTGCTTAGCTATGAACCTGGAATAAAGGCATCTAATACAGTTAGGGAACACTGGTGAAATATGGAAAAGCAGAGACATAAAATCATCTTTTTCAACTTTTTCTTAAGAAATGCTTTGCAGAACTCAAAGAAAGTTCAAGTTATCAAGGTACCTACCCTATGTCAAAAAGACAAGGAGGAAAAATAATAATTATCACTTAGTTCTAATAAATCTACTGTGTTGTATCTACCACTTTTAAATCATACTCTTAGTAATGATGTAATAACTCGGAATCAGCCTGGGAAAACATTAGTAGCTCTTTTGACTTGGGAAATGTCCACAAAATAATGCTTAATGGTAAGGCCTGAAAATGAATTATAACTTTAACAACTTTAGTAACAAAAAGTGTTTGAGATCATAAAACTCTTACAGTACTATCTACTTAATACTATACTATGAGTGACCATTTATTATAGGAATCACTAAAGTATCTGAATCAATTCATGCATTGGAAATATATATATTTGAAGGTAACATGAAAATCTGAAATCCTTCAAATTTTTATTAAAATATGAAAAAATTTATAAAAGTTAACTTTTGGCCTTGACACTGTTTTGGATATTAAATTTTTATTCAAGAATAAAGAATCAGAGCATAAAACACATCTTTGTCCTAGTGGTAAAAATGCAAGTATGAAAGTATGCATGCCCTACTGAACATACTATTTTCCTTATTTTTCTGTACTTAGGAATACACAAGCTGTTACTCGGAGTATGAGTTATATTAAAGGGCTACATTTTGGGTGTGGTGGTATGGGAGGGTAAAATAACTTTGTGCTTTAGCATTTATGTTTTGAAAAACAACACTTTCAAAAACAAATCTATTGTATTTATCAGGAATGTTAGCTCTGTTGCTAGGAGATTTTTTTTAGACTGCGAGCCTCATAAGGGTGTGTAAGTCCTATCTTGTTTTACACTACTGTATCCTGAAAGGTAAGCAAAAGCAAATAGGAAATAAACCCCAACCCAGGGCTCCAGAGAGCAGAGGTGACCCTGCATAAAGGGCTGGGAGCTAAGGGCAGCAAGACAAAGGAACAAGGACAAAGGAACAACTCAGGGTAGCTGGGGCAACTGACCAGGAGGGGACAGTGAAGTGAGCGGGGAGAGGGCGAGAGAGCAAGGACCAGAGGAGGCTGAGAGCTGAGGACAGGCCAGTGGGGAAGGGAAAGGGAGAGGATACTGTGGATCACAGTGAGAGGGAGCCAACAGACAGGACAGCGGAAGGAGCAAGAGAGAGCGTTGAGAGAAAGAGAGCACACACCTTGTTTGCAAGGACCGGAAATGAAAAAATACTAGTTTCATTCATTCAAATTAACTTCAAACTCATATCCTTAAACAGTCCTAAATCATCCTGGAATAAAGTCAACTTTATGACAAAAGAACAGAATGATTCAGGGGGATTAAGAGTGCGGGTTTGAATGTCACTGTCACCTAGAACTGAGAAGAGAACAATTATTTATAACACTAAAGGTGCAGAGAATAATAATAGCTGATGCGTTTGCAGAGAGCACTTACTATGAAGCACCATTCTAAGTGCTTCAATATACTAATTTAATACTCAGAACCACTTTACAAAGTGAGACATTGGAGGCACCTAAAAGTATAAGTAACTTGCTCCAGATCCCAGCTCTCAGAAGGGAGGAGTTGGGCTTTTAGCAGTCTAGTTTTGGAGGTAGTGCTTTAGATCACTGCATGTGCAGCCTCTCAAAGAAATGAAAATGGAGTGTATGAACACATTGGAGAACAGTACCTCCTTCAACAAACGACAGACCTTACTCATGATCAAAACAGCAATTATAACTAGAAAAATAGGCCTCTTTCATATAATTTCTCTGGAAGAATCTAGGCAACAAGAGATAAAATTGGGATAAGTCAGAAATCCATTATGACCAGTGCATTTAACTAATAATAGTGTCTTGAGTAAGATACTTTTACTTAATTTTATTGTAGACTTTTTTCTCTTCTTTATGTTTTCCCCCCACAAACTCAAACTGTTGTTGAAATTCCATTTTAAATTCCCTTCAAAAGCATTCTTGGGATTGTCATTTCTCCTCCTGGGTGACTGGCCATAGATAGGGCATCACAGCTAGACTGGTAAAACAGGAAGTGGGAGCAGGAGGGGTGAAGGTCAGGGAAAGCAGACGATAAGAACTAATTGCTAATGGACAGTTCCTTTGAATCTAAATATTTTAATTGCTCCTCACATCCAAAGTCACTTGGAATCCCTACTGGCTGTGGGTATATGAATCAGGGTTAGCAGCACCTGGGGACCATGCCCCCCCATAGCACCAAGGGACCCCAAGAAGAGGAGGAAGGAGGCATTTCCCTTCCCAGTCCTCCCCTTGTCCATTAACTCCTTTCTGCAGCCTCAGACATTCTGCATAATACATTGTGGGAAGCTGAGGATCAAGTAAGAATAGACTTAAAACTGCAAGTTTCTCCATAATAAGAAATACAAATACTCACTTTTTCATTATAGATGTCCCCGAGCATTGTACTTGCTCTCACAATATCTAGGCTTTGAAAATTGTTTCTTGCAATTTCCACAACCTTTTTCAAGTATTTAATTGCTTCTGTCATTTCTCCTTGGCTGGAAGCAAATACAATTGGAAACCGTTGCAGTATCATCTCAGTATCACACTGAAAAGAAGACATTTTGTACTTTTGCTGTAGAAAATGCACGGTGATTGTTAGGATAATGAAAATAAGTGCTAAATTAATAAATAGGTGGCTTCTTTGTTGGAGTTAAAACTTTAATGTGTTAGAACTTACATGTCACTTAAGTCGCTCATAGAAATGTTGGGTATCCTGGAATTTAAATGTGTAAAGTTTTAAACTTTCATCCAGTGATTAATGGTAATATAAGATGATACAGTTGCTTTGCCAGACAATTTAGTAGCTTCCCCCAAATTTTACATAGTTACCATAAGACACAACGAAGAGCACTGAAAATATATGTCCACACGAAACCATGTACCTGGGTGCTTGTGGCAACATTATTTGTAAGAGTCAAGGGATGGAAACTACCCAAAGGTCCGTCAGCTGATGAATGAATGCATCAACCAAGTGGTATAGCCACACAGCGGGACATTACTTAACCATAGGAAGTACTGAAATGTCAAAACATGGATGGAACCTGAAAATATGCCGAGTGAAAGAAGTCAGGCAGAGAAGGCCACATATTATATGACTCTGTTTACACGACATATCCAGGACATGAAAATCCATGGAGACAGGTAGCAGGTCAGTGTCTGCTGGAGGTTGAGGAGTGGGGAGTGAGGGGTGGCCAGTACTGATAACAGAGTTCTTTTCAGAGTGGTAAAAAGTCCTGAAGTCATTCAGGTGTCATGGTTGCACAATTCTGTGACTTATACCAAAACCATTGAATTTGTAGACTTTAAATAGGAGAATTGTGTGGGAAATGAATTATATCTCAATGAAGGTGTTTTTTTTTTCTTAAAAAGAAACTTTAGACATTTTACAACAGATGAATGTTTATTCCTATAAGGTTCCCTCAGGCAGTGAAATATCAGGTCGCTAAAGTCACATATGTTATATATTCTGGAAAAATACTCAGGAAGATGTGATTCCAGCCGCATGTTTGGCATATGCTAGGCCTTTGTGTATTTTTCGATATAAGAATGGTAGAAATTTTGAGAAAGGAAATGCTTATGTAGTACATGTGTATATTGAGTGTCAGGGTGTATCATGAAAACCTCAGCCACATGGATGTTTGGCGTTCAAGCCTAAACTGACTCCTAGATGTTTCAGTAATATCAAGAAACTTGCAGAGTCTAGCAAATGTCATAAAATATGCTAACTGTCTGAAGAATATGGTTGCCCTCCTTGCAGAGTTTCACTGTGAATTTGAAGAGATGAATATATAGATCCTTACACGGTGTTATCTGTGAGAGGCACTATAAGCTACAGACAGTGCTGTGAAACCTTGCTCACTTAAGAAAATCAAGGATATGGGGGGTAAATTTTTTTTTTTTTTTTTTTATATATCAGGCATGGAACTCAGGACCTTGTGCTTTCAAGGCAGGTGCTGGAATCACTGAGCTAAATCCCCTGCCCCACAAATTTGGTCTTAAAAGGCATTTAAAGGAATTTAAGGTCAAATCTAGTGAGTGATGATATTAAAGCATTTATGCCTTTGTTGTTGTTGTTGTTGTTGTTTGAATCCTGCAAACGGAACCCAGGGCATTCTGCCACTGTGGTACATCCTTTTGTCATAGATATAAGACAAAGTTGCTAAGCTGCCCAGGCAGGACTGGAATTTGTGATCCTCCTGTCTCAGCCTCCCTCAGTGCTGGGAGTACAGTCATATACCACCACTGTGCCCACCGGCATTTATATGAATTTTAAAAATCATAATACCACGAGGGGCATCTTTGAATTTTGAGCTGTGTAAAATGTTTACTGTGCTTACTGACTCACAGGCTCCCGCTTTCTTCCTCCTCCCCCTCCAGCTACATCTTCATCACATAGGTTGAATCGCTGCTGTTGGCCATCCCCCTTTCTTCAGACGATTTTCCGTCTCCAGCATCTCGCAGTGTGGGCTGATTTCTTTTCCCTCACTTTTGTGGGTCTTACTTTTTTCTGGATCTCACATGACTTTGAGCTCTCTGCCCCTCCGAAGTCGGTCCGTCCAGAGTTCCGGCCAGGACATCCCTCCTCTCTACTTCCTATAGAAGTCTGAGAGAGGACTGCACGGTAACCTAAAACCGAGATGCACAGGTCTGCCCAAACCCTATTTCTGGTCCCATTCCCCTTTCCACCTCAGATCCCCTTTTCCATTGTCCTGGATGTTTCTTAGCACGCAAAGGAAGACAATTCCTGCCAAGTGCTTATCTTTGAGGATGTCATCTAATGATGAGGTTGATGGCACTGGAAAGCCTCTTGAAGGGACGTCTTCCTAGTAATGTTAGAAAGCACGCATACATAATTTAGCAAATCTTGTTCCTAAAATGATATCACTCAGGATTTTTTTTGCTGTGGTTTCTAAACGTGATTTCAAATTCTTTCGGCCGTTTCTAAAGACCAAAGCTCCCTCATAAACCATGTTGAGCTGCTACTGGGGCTGTTCAAAAGAATACCTCACAAGAATATGGCAGGAGGCAACTTTATGGGAGTATATTTGAAACATGTACTGGCAGAATTGGAGATATTAACTTGTATAACCTTGCAAGATTTGGGTGATAATGTTTATTTTTATAAATAAACAGTGATATGCTTTACAAATACGATTACTTTAAAGTGACAGTGAGTTGTAGTGGATGTTAGAAAGATCTTGGTGTGGATCCATCTCAGCGTCCTAGATGAATAAAATTGATCCCATCAAAGTTATGAGCCAAAAAAAAAAATTGTGCTTCCTCAGTTTTAGAATAACCACTAATTGCTATAAGATGAAAATTTGTGTAAGTGGAAATTGTGACACATAGTACATGCAGATTCAGCACACGACCGCTACTAGGACTGTTGTCTCCCAGTGAAACAACTATTTGCTTCACTCTACCTGATACTGTCTATCACAAGCTGAAAGAGAATTCAGTGTAGCTAAGCATAACTTAGAAAACTTTTTATCATACAGTGAACTAAATGTGATTTTCTAGGGATTAGAGTCAAAGAACTAGCTTTTAAAATTACTTTGAGTATCAGGAACAGAAATGAATTTTTTCTTTCTTTCTTGGTAAAAGAATGCTCTACCACTAAGAAATAAAATAGAAATTTATGTTTCTGGAATTTCTCTGTACTAGTTTCTCTAATTCCACTCTCCCTTTTTCAGACAGCATTGTGACTAATCTGTCATGGTAAGGCCAATTTTCCAGAAAAATTATGCATTATTTGAGGAATTTTTCAAATGCAAGCATAGAATAAAACATAATGAGAAGTTCACTAATTATTTTAATTTATATAATTATTGTGTATGAAAACCAAAAGGTATTGAGAGAATTTTAAGGTAAGAAATATTAATAAATAAGTAAAATATCTAAATTAATAAATCAAATATGATGTAAGTTTAGAGCCAATATGTTTTATCAGTTGATGTTAGCTTTTCAAGCTGTTTAAAGAAAAAATAAAGAGGTAAAGACATTTTCGCATATCACTTTAAAAACTTAGGAAAAATTCAATAATAATATTTACCTGAGATGAACTTACTGAAACTTATTTTTGTTCATGTGTTGAAAGCGTATATGTTTCTGATGGAAATACATTTTGGACTACGTTTGGCCTGCTGAGGATTGTTAACTCAAAACAAACACAAACAAATCACCAAAAAAGAAACCCAAGTTCAGTGAACAAGAAATATAAAATCGTGTAAATAAAAGTATTGCTGGGCGATTTGAGACTTTTTTCCCCAAAAGACCAGCAGACCTCCCAAACATCCAAAATTATTTTGAACTTGATCTAACAAATAAGGCTGGAGAAAAGCCCTTCTATTATAAATGGTATGCTCCACTTGATAAATGTACAACTCTACAGCCAGCAAGGTTTGTAATATAGCAACTGAAATATACCAAATATGTATTGGTGAAAGGATTTTCAGTTGTGAGAGGCAACAACAGATATAGAAGTAAGTCTTTCCTGGAAAGTTGAAAAAAAATCACATATTTTCCTACAGAAGGGCTACAGATTATTTGTATAAGTTCAAGGGCAAGGTTAAAATGTTAGACAAATATTAATTCCAGTTTTCTATATGCAGTGCACAGGTGCAACTTGAACAGCATATTATATGGTATAATCATTAAATTCATTCAACCAGACCTTAGAGAGTTAAAAACATATATTCTGAGGAAAAGGACTCCTCGGTCCGAAGAATGAGAATGAAACAGTGCAGAATATTTGTGTATCAAGGTGATTCCAGTTTCCAACTGGGAAAACGGGACTGTTAACACCCACGTCCCCTGACAACTGTCCAATTATGTATATCACACTTGGCCTACTGTTTGCAGTAGAAGTAATCAATAAAGGATGTGGTTGAGTGAACATAGATTTTGGTTGAACCAATGCATGAAAACTTAATCATTTACTCAGAGAGAAGAAATCAAATAGAGCAGAGATGAAACAGCCACTAAGGGGTTTGTTGATTGTGCCACCAAGTTTGTGGGCCACAGATGAAAGTAATAAGGCAAATGGGATCAGTGACAGGAGAAAATGTAAAAAGCTATTCTTAATTTCATGAATTAATAGAAATCTTTTGATTTTTTGGAGGGTCAATTTTAGGAAATTTAGCATTGAAGCCTGGAGATTCCATTTTAAAGAATATATGAAAATTACTAGGGCGTGTCATTTCTCTCAAGCAAGGAGAAATTAATTTTCAGCTATAATAGGAAGGTAATTTCTACACTTGAAACTTTGCACTGATTGATTTAAAGATCTGCACTGTGGAAAGTTTTCTAGGAAATAATTTAATTGGAGCTCACAAGAAAATTTACAGTTGGTATGGGATAAACACGAGATGGGCCAATTCTGGCCAATGGATCATGAACAAATTTTGTGATATTTCTCTAGGTTCTTCTAAATAGTCATTTTAATTATATTGAAGAGTTATGATATTTTAGTAAATTAGTTACTTCAGTAAATGAGACAATATGTGCACTATGTATTATGAGGATATATACACACACAAGGAAAATTGAAGACATTCACTTCTGTATTTATCCGAATTATTGATTTATTTTATAATAATATTTACTTCTTAATTTTGCAACTCATTCTTTCTTTGTTTAATGGATCATAATTCTGGCTTTTATAATAATATCATAAAGCTATTTTGGAACATAAATTTTCTTTTTCACTGGAATTGAAGTAAGGGAATAAAGACATTGCAAATGCTGATTTTCAGGTGTATTTCTTATACCCTTGTGCAGTTAAATTATGCGGATCAATGGCAAAAAATAGCAAAACTTGTTCATTATTAAATCCTTCCTCAATACCTAATGCTAGGTATGGGTCTAGCATTACCAAATGGGCCACACCACATTACCAAATCCTCAGTTGTGAGAGAAAGTGGTGTGTTTTTCAATTGAAGGATTAGTATAAATTCTTATAACCACTTTAGAAGCTTCCAGGCTTAGAGCTTATTCACCTTTCATGCATGCTCAGCTGATGGCCTTAGACACACACTTATCTTAGACATGGCTATCCTCTTCCATTTCCTTTAAAGAGATAAAATATGTTTATAGAGATAGGGCTACCATTAGTGAAACTGGTACAATTGCACAGGTTAGGGAAAAGAGATTTAGAGGTGATGCTAAGCTTCATACACAACTTGATTTATTTCTCACTGTCATCACCATAATTTCCTCTGTTTTGGCTGTGTTCCATTCCTTGCATGTTGCCGCTAACCTGCAAGAAGACAGTTTAGGACTATGCAAGGGATGATACATGTGTGTGTGTGTGTATGTGTGTGCATGTGTGTGCATACATGTTAACTGAAAAAATGCCAAGCCATCAAAGCAACATTTTTTTTTCCAAAGCAACATTTTCTAAAAATAACCACAAATTTTATATCCAATGATTTTATTATTTAATGGGCTTGATTTAATAATGCTCCTCAGATATCTAGGGTGTTGGTGTCTACCTATATAGAATTTTTGGTTTTAAAACATTTATCTGTCAAGACATTATACTTAAATTATTTTGCATCGTGCTTGAATTCTAGTTTAAAAAAATCACCAGGCTAACACTCCCCTGAGCATTCCTCTATAACCACTCATGCTGTAAAATGGCAGGTTTGCATGGGAAAGTTGTGGCCTTCGGAGATTGCTTTCTCTTTGATCTTAGAGGAACTATCTTCTATAATCTGTATATTGCATAATCTTTTACACTAAGACTGTATGTCTACCATATGAATCATTGATAGTTTTACTGTACTATTATAGGAGGGAATTCTTAAGAGTGGAATTATTGTCTTTTGGTATAAAACTGAAAGGGGAATAAGTCATCTCGTTCCATTATATGTTTGCCCTGAGTCAAGATGCTGGGCTGCCAAGAACTTGGGGACAGAATTATCCCTATGTCTATGAAAAATACCCTCAGAGTCATGATCAGTCAAATACAGCTGTATCTTTCCCACTCCTAGACAAAAGATATATGTGCAACAATTAAAACAGATAATTTCTTTCTGCAAAAAATATTTGCAGATAGTTGTTCAATTTCCCCCTTGTATCTGACAATACAGACCAGAAATTCAAATCCTGGGGTGGAGACTAAATGTTACAGATAAGACACAAGGTGAGAAGGTTATGAAGTATTTGAAGCCAATTTCATGTTTCAGGGAAGTTTCAAAAATAATTATAAAGACCATCATTTGTCAAAAGGGTAGTCCAGTATTCATCCTGTGACAAATACTGTTACGGTACTGGTGACAAGTTCTCCGTAAGTTTTATGTTTTATACAAGAAAACATTTTCTCCATCTCTCTAGTTATTCTTGGCTACAATGAAAATGCCATTTTGTAAAAATTATTCTATGAACATGGTACCGGATACATTTATATAGCTGTAAAAGCCTCAGCCGGGTTTGTTACTCTGAAGAAAGACGAGCAATCTAATGATTTTCTACTGATTTGGTGCAGCAATACCAGGAGGATCAAATAATGTAATAGTTAAAATGAACTGAACAAAAGGCCACAGAAGGGATTTGTTCCAAATAGATATTAAATTGAATACTTATCAATCTCCTTTTTGTATTCAATATATTTCTTGGTTATTTTTTGCAAAGTAAAGCTTTTAGGGGATAATTTAGAAGCTGGCCTTGTCTTTCTTTCTTTCTTTCTTTCTTTTTTTTTTTTTTTTTTTTTTTTTTGGTACCAGGGATTGAACTCCAGTCTTTGCGCTTGCAAGGCAGGCAACCAAATGGCCTTGTCTTTCTTAAGTAAAATTCCGTACTCTCCTTATTAATTATGTCTGTGTTCCTAAAACATTTATTCATTGATGATTCCATATAGAATTCCATATAGATTCTATATAGTATTTTGAAGGATACCTTCCATTTCATTGGCATTGGTATTGAAGCAGTGATTATTATATTAGCAATGGTGCTTATATAATGATGACTCCATTTCCAATTCATTCACATTTAAGTATCGAATGCTTTTAAATAACAGTTGTACCTCCTAAAACATCATCACGCTGTATACGTTCACAATGAGATATAAATGGAAAGAAATCAGAACTTAACACAATCTTTCTTTTTTTTTTTTTTTTTTTTTGGGACCAGGGATAGAACTCGGGTCCTTGTGCTTTTGAGGCAGGTGCTGGAACAACTGAGCTAAATCTCCAGCCCTCACAATCTTTATCTTTTACCACTACTGCTTTTGTTAAAAAGTTTTATTTTAGATAAATGGAAAACCAAGGCTTTAAGTTCAGTAATTTTTCTTTTTGTTATTCTATGTTTTCTTAAATCACAGTGCTACTATAGAATACATAGCTAAACGGCTCACACACTACAATCACAGTACAATGAGTGAAGGGTAAACAATGTATTTTTTATGGAAAACTTATGCACAGGAAGTTGTTCATGTATACTTTTATTAAATCTTTTTAAAATAAAATACTGAAAATCTTGGTTTTGTGCTCCACTGTATATCTAGATATGCTCAAAGAAGTGATGTCTTAATGGGAAAAGCATGACTAAAGTATAAATGGAAACTTTCCTAAAGAAGAGCTCGGGAGAGGTTATGGCAAGCCACAGTTACTGAAGCGTACTGCACAGTGCTCTGCTCTCTGCTTCCTTAACCTGTGAGATGTGACCTGATTTCACCCTGCCCCTTGCATCCAAGGTCACTGTTAAACTTACAGAAAACCGAAAAGAAAATGATACAAAGGAGAAACAGACAAGAAAGAGTTTAGATGTATTTCTTCAAGTCCCCCATTGGTTTAAAATAACTTATGATGAAAGGGTCACTTAAGAAGGGCATTGCTTAAAATTTAAGCAGGCAGTAATGGAAAGCGACAGACCTCAAACAATTTAAGTCTTTCACAGTTGAGTGGATTCACAGTGACAGCAAGACAAGGATGTGCTAACTTACCTCTGCAGGACCTTGGCTATGGCTTCATAGGCTCTCCCCAGGCCAAGATCATCATTTAGGTCTGTGGAGATTTTACTGTAAGTGTTGAGGACCTGTCAGGAAGAGAAATTCATATTGAACATACAGTACCATGACAACCATTGGTATTGCCTTTCAGAATGGAAAGGATGAAAATTAACAGTTATTTTTAATATCTCCATAAAAATTTTTTGTTTATGAAAAATTCACATTGGCTTGGTTTATTTTTATCTATGGTATAACTTGTTTCATGGTGATCTCTTTGAGCCATGACAGTGAGGTCTTACTATTGTAAAAATAATTATTTTCTTACGCTATTTCAAATCTTCCAATTCATAGAACTTAGGTGTAAATAAATAATTGAATGGTTTACAACATAATTTTAAAAGATAGGACTATTACCAAAGGTAATATACATCGGATTGTAATATTCTATTATCCTAGCTTAAATATCACTTTTCTTTCTATAAATAGCTATTTGAAAAATATGAATTTAGGTGACAGACCCTTTCTAAATCTATCATTTTATTAGATGCATATCTCACAGTGAGTACACGAATGTAGTATATACTAAAAATGTTTCTTACAAATGTACTTCATTACAAAAAGTCTTTTCAATAATCAAAAGATTACAGTACTGTAGGCAAACATATGATCTTAATTTAACACTAACATCATCTGTACAGCATTATTTTTTTTTCTTTTCTATTCTTTTGCCCCTTTCAATGGCCAAAAGGAGAGAAAATATATAAAACAAAGTTTCCTTTTCTTTCTTATTTCTTTATTATAACTTGATCCGACCAATTACACACATGAGGACACAGGAAATCTCGAAAGACCTCTACAGAAATCCTTTTCACACATTTTCTAGGAAAGAATTAGTGAATATCATCTGATGGCATTTCAGAGATGGAGTCAGTATGTGTGCTGTGGGTGACATAAATATGCCCTGTGTGCTACTGCATGAATGAGTCAGCCTCCAAGGGCTATGTATTAAGGACAAATTGATATTTATCTTCACTTTAAAGTTAATATTTGGAAAATACTTTCAATGAGGCCATTGTGATACTTCTTTAAACCTGAGTTTCATGTGGTTGATAAGTGACTGCTTGAGGCCTGGGCAGAGGAACAGTGAGTGGTGCAGCCTGTGGAGCTCGCCTCGGATCACAGCCCCAGCCCTCTGGGCTCTGGAATGGTGAGAGGCACAGCCCTGTGGGTGCCTGCAACACACCCCCACACACTTGCCTCTAGCCCGCTGTCTGGGCTGGTACTTGGATTCATACCACAGAGGCACAGGGGGTCATAAAGGCCATTGTTCTGAGTTCTACCTCGATTTTGATTTAATTTGCATAGTTAAAGGTGATTGATTAATAATGACCACAAATTGCCATTTTTCTAAGCTGTGCTTGATACCATTGTGTTGCTCATTGTATTACTTGGGCTAAAGTGTTGTGATTGATTTAATCAGTTGTCCTTCCTGGTATAATGAAAATGTTATTCCCTCATAGTAATTAGATACTCAAAACCTAAAGACAAGCTATAACAGGAAGATCAAAGTATTAATCCAGGAATTAAACCAAGGACACTGCCAACAACAACAACAAAAAAATGAGAAGAGATTCAAGCAAGGCACAAGCACAAACAAAGGCTGCCTGTTCATCAAAGGCAAATTCTGAAGGAAATGAGCTGGAAAAGTCTGATAATCAATCACCTGGACTTTTTGAACTGATAGCACAGGAAGTAACACAACAGATAAATGAGGTGCTAGAAAAATTCAAAACAGAAAAAAATTTCCAAGATAACTACAGAGATGGTGAGCAGAATGAATGACATGATTAGAGACTCTAGAATAGAAACAGATAAAAAAAATATGTGATTTCAGGACTGGCAGAGTGGATTAAGAAGCAAAATTCAACAATATGCCATATACAAGAAACACACCTAGTTCGAAAAGAAACTCATAGACTGAAGTAAAAGGATGGAAAACAGTTCTCCATGCAACAGGAACCTGGAAAAAAGCAAGGGTAGCAAACTTATTTGCAGACAAAGTATATTTCAAACCAAAATTAATTAATAGAGACAAAAAAGGTCACTACATCCTTGTAAAGGGAACAACAGAAGAGGAAGAGATGACAATCATAAATATATATGCACCAAATACTAATGCCTCCAACTATACAAGACAAATATTAAGGGACACAAAAAACTAAATAAGCACTAATACAATTGTAGTGGGGCAACTCAATATCCCATTGTCACAAATAGACAGATCATCTAAACAAAAAATCAACAACAAGATACTAGAACTCAACCAAGCTTTTGGACAAATGGACTTAATAGACATCTACAGAATGTTCCACACCACAAAATCAGAGAATATGTTCTTTTGGGCTGCACATGGGTCATTCTCCAAAATATACCACATACTAGCTCATAGAACGTATTTAAATAAACGCAAAGAAGTTGAAGTTATGTATATTATCAGACCATAGTGCAATTATATTGGAGATCAATAGCAAAGAAAACCGCAAGAACTTCATAAACTCATGGAAATTGAATAACACTCTCCTGAACAACCAGTGGATCACAGGGAAAATTAAGAAAGAAATTAGAAAGATTTTACAATTTAATGATAGTACCAATACAACATACAGGAATCTCTGGGACACAATAAAAGCAAATCTATGAGGGAAATTGGTAGGAGTGAATGCTCACACAAGAAAAACAGAGTGAGCTGAAATAAACAAACTAATACTGAATCTTAAGCTTCTAGAAAAGTAAGAGCAAGACAAACCCAAAGCTTGAACAAGGGAGGAAATTATTAAAATCAGAGCAGAAATCAATGCAATGGAGACTAGGAAAACAACACAAAAAAAAATCAATGAATTGAAGAGTTGGTTTTTTGAGAGAATAAATAAATCAATAAACTCGTAGCTAACCTTACAAAACAAAAAAGGAAAGAAAAGGCTCAAATCCATGCAATTAGGAATGAAAAAGGTAAAGTCACAACAGATCCAGGAGAAATCCAGAGAATCATCAATACTTACTTGGAGAAACTGTACTCTAATAAAATGGAAAATACAGAAGAAATGGACAGATTTCTAGATACATATGAATTACCAAAGTAGAACAAAGAAGATATAAAAATTCTAAACACCCCAATTATAATCCATGAAGTTGAAAACATAATTAAAACTTTATCAACAAAGAAAAGCCCAGGTCTTTATAGCTTTACAGCTGAATTCCATAAAACATTTAGAGAAGAACTACAGCCACTACTTTTGAAACTTTTCAGTGAAATTGAAAGGGAAGTGATACTTCCAAATTCATTCCTAGAAGCAAGTGTTCTTTTATTTCCAAACCAGGTTAAGATCCAACCAAGAAAGAGAATTATAGGCCAAACTCACTAATGAACAAAGATGCAAAAACCCTCAATAAGATACTGGTAAACAGAATACAGACAGTCATCAAGAAGATCATACAACCCAACCAAGTTGGATTTATCCCAGGGATGCAAGGATGGTTCAACATATATAAATCAATAAATGTAGTACACTATATTAACAGAGTCAAAGACAAAAACCATATGATCATCTCAATAGGTGCAGAGAAAGCATTAGACAAAGTTCAACACCCATTCATGATAAAAAACCTGTAGAAAACTGGAATATCTCAACTTCATAAAGCCTATCTATGAAAAACCATTATCATACTAAATGTTCAAAAACTGAAAACCTTCACACTAAAATCAGGAATAACACAAGGAAGTCCACTGTCAACACTCCTGTTCAATATAGTTTTGGAAATATTAGCCAAAGCAATCAGACAAGAGAATGAAATAAAAGCAATAAAGATAGGAAAGGAAGAAGTTAAACTGTCATTATTTTCTGATGATATGATACTCTACATAGAAGACCCAAAAAACTCCACCAAAAGACTTCCAGACTTAAATGACAGATTCAGTAGAGTAGCTGAATCAAAGGACAACACTCAAAAATCAGTAGCCTTCTTGCACGCAAATAACAGAATCACTGAGAGAGAAATTAGAGAGATGATTCTTTTCATAATAACATCCAAAAAAATGAGATATGTAGGAATCTTTCTAATGAAAGAAGCAAAAGACATCTGTAATGAGAGCTACAACACTCTGAAAAAAAGAGATCAAAGAGAATAGAAGAAAATGGAAAGAAATCCCTTTTTCCTGGGTAGGAAGAGCCAATATAGTGAAAATGGCCATACTTCCAAAACTGCTTTACAGATTCATTGCAATTCAATTGAAATCCCAACAATATATTTTACTAGAGAAAACAATCCAAAAATTCAGTTGGAACCAGAGAGAACTAGAATAGCAAAAGCATTTCAAGGCAAAAGAGACATGGCTGTGGGTATCACAATTCCCAACTTGAAACTATACTACAAAGCCACTGTGATAAAAACAGCATGGTACTGGCAAAGAAAGAGGCCCAAGAATCAGTAGAGGTAGATTAGAAAATGCAGAAACAACACCAGACATACTCAGCTACCTCTTCTTTGACAACGGAGCCAATCATCCTCACTAGAGGAAGGATAGCCTCTTTAACACATGGTGTTGCAAAAAGTGGCTTTCAACATGCTAAATATTAAAACTAGACCCGTATCTTTCACCATGCACTAAACTAAAATCCAAGTGGATTAACAATCTAAATGTTAAAACAGAAACATTAAACTTTCTGGAAGATAATTTAGATAGAACTCTTGAAGACATTGGCATAGGAAAAGACAATGAACAAATCTTCTGTACCATGGGAACTAGCATAAAGAATCACAACTGGAATCTCATTTTTAAAAAAAGCTTCTACACTGCAAGAGAAACCACCAATGGAGCTAAGAGACAACCTACAATGTCGGGAAAAAAAATTTTACCAGCTGTTCCTCAAAGGCCTCCTATCCAGAATAAAGAACTAAAAATAATTAGACCCCTCAAATTTATAAACCTAATTCAAAAGTGGGCATCTGAAATGAACACACATATCTGAAACAAAGAAGTAAAAGCAGCAAATAAACATATGAAAAATTGCTCAACATCACTGGTCAT